ATTACAGTAAGGAAGAACTACCGGTGATTCGCTCCATAACGAAAACTAAGTTGAAGCCAGCTCTACAAAGTGGTACCTGAAAATAGGCAAAAGACTTCTTGGGAAGAGAGATATCAACGATTAAACAGTGTATACATATTCTGTTCTATCTTCTTAAGATTTATTGAAAGTCGCACTATTCAATTACTATGTGATGTACCAGTGTATACATAGTTTTGGAACATCCGGTATAATGTTCTTCTGTTCTAAAAACTTTTAGCACACAGTGATACTAAAGTAAAAGTTATTTCAGCAGTTTCAGGTCGACTTCTTGAGATGGTGTTTACAGTCAATCAATGCCACAATGACCATAAACCCTTCGCTAATGAAAAGTAGCGATGTGCTGTTAATGGTATCGATAGGAATTAGTTGCCTATTTGAAGTGCAATAGGCCTGCTTTTACAGTTGGAAAATGGCAGCGCAGATATCTCTCTGTACGCCTTATCTCAAATCAAATCCAGGGAGAATAAGGTAGCAAAGTAGAAGGCTGTGTAAATTTATATCCAAATGCGCCTGCTTTATATAAACTAATGATCAGAAATTTTGAATCATCACAAGCTTGTTATAGATGGCAGTGAGCCCGCACTACTTTCTGTCGCATCTCTGTCTAATTCTGTGGTCTGTTTCTGACTCATACTTCGCACTCTTAAAACGAAAAAATTTACGAAAAAACTTGGAAGCGAAAGTAACCTATATATTCTCACATGACAGCTGCTTTCTCATGTTCAAAGAAAGCGCCAAGAAGTAAGTTTACACAGCCTGTATCACTTGAGTATCAAGTGACATGCTCCAACGTGTGGATTGCAGGTGACCTATCTGAATCCTATTGGCTTGAGGTATTTAGGATATTTTATCAAGGAGAGCACTGAGATTGAAGTTGGAGATTATCTAGCGTTTGATACAACCGTAAGCGAAAAACAATTTACATTCTGCGAAAAAAAGTACAGGCTGGGCGTACTTCTGTCGCACCAAGTTAAATCCACGAAAGTTCGAAGATGGATTCTATAAAGTTTCAAATGACCGGAAGTTCAACAAAATTTTTATCTTCGTCTAAAAAATTTCTACGGATCCACGTCCGGCATACATTCCTCATTAAATCGATGATTAAAATTTTCATGCTACTGCCGAAGTGATTCTGGGCTGTTTCCGCGTAAGTAATTCTATAAACAGCATGGAAAGCATAACCGTGGATACTCAGCCTTCCTCAAGGGTTCGTTTTCGTGAAGTATCGAATTGATTCAAAAAACAAGTTAAGTTAAATTCGGTATTTCTTGTGAACTAACTCCTTAAGAAGGCTGAAAATCTACAGTTATACTTTCCAGGCTAAGTAGTACAAAATTACTCGCGCGGAAACAGCCCAGCATCACTAATAACATGAAAAATTTCAAATTTTCGATGTCTACCCAAAGAACAATTACAGCAACTAGAATGTTTGGTAAGGGATTATGATTGTGGCAAGTTGGGGGATTCGTAGAAATCTTTCAAACGGAGATAAGGATCTTCTTGATTTTTCGCATTCAAAACTTTTTAGACTCCGTCTTCAAACTTCACGTGGATTAGACATGGTGCAAAACTAGTGCAGGTACAGCAAGTTTCAATTAATTGTAAGTTTAGGAGGAAGTTGAATTGGCGGGAACCCGCTTCGCAATAATTCGCGCCGCTTTGCAGCCTGCGTCTCTTTATTCTAATCTACCTCGCCGAGCCAGTGGCGGTGAGGACGCACTGCTCCACTTGGAATTTTTTGCTTATGCTGGATTGAAACACTGTAAATGCATTGACTATTAATCAATAGTGTCAGTCTCTGTCAAAAGCTCCGATAGCGCTTTGCCGGCACAGGATCAACTAGTCTCGCTTCAAACGAAATGCCTGTTATCGATCGAAACAGCGCGGGGACAGCTCGCTAGCACGGCGCTGGCTCGGCGCCGGCGCAGCGCTGGCGTTGCTTCAGCATTCTGACGGGAGCCTATGAGTGCAAAGTTTGGTTCGGGTCGGGTCAGAAACGGAGTTTTGTATTTGGAAACATACATACAGGCACAAATACTTACATATAGATATACTCAGCTTTGTATAGGTCGGATCATTTCATACGATCATGTGCGTCATCGCACGCACTGTCCATCTTTGGCATTCTCATCTCGATTCTTGGAGCAGAAGCCCCTTCAGGTAAATGTTTTCGGTTTAATTTTTTATGCTTTCTTTCTTTTCTAGGCACCAGATTCCTCAGAGTGATGTAAGCGAAACAATCGGTGTCTCTTGTGCTTTTGCAATTGCAAATTCAGGATGGGGACGCCAGAGATGATGTGTGCAGACACGCATGATCATATGAATGACTTGAGTAGCAACTTGTCAACTAAGATTTGCAACTACTTTTATAACTTCTCTCTCTGCATATGATGCACTCAAATTCTCCCATCATGTCGGTCATGATGTAAACTACTAACGCAGCCACAGTTGTGCAAAATTCTGACGTCACAGCGGGGTTACGGTAGGTTTATATTATAAAAGGAAAAAAAAATTATAGACTATCACAAATTTGGCTGAAATTTCGTTGAGATGTGTTATCTAATAACTCAGCACGAAAACGATTTTTTCGCATGGTAAGGGTTGTTTTATGCTGTCGCTGCAGCACCGACCGTCGATCGATCAATATCTTTTGCTCGCCTTACTGCGACTGCAGTTGCTGCAGCGACTGCAGTATGAAACAACCCTAAGAGTTTTAGAGTCAACCCTTGTGACGTCACAGTAAGTCTACGGTTTGGAGCCTCACGCTAAACAAGAAATACATAGGGTATTCGTATTCAGCAGGGCAATTAACCCTATGTGCAAAGTTTTGTCGAAATTTGAGACTTCGCCTATTTAGTGACAGACCATTGTACCTAAGCAGCTTTTGCGTACAGCTGCTCGTTCAACTTTGCGAAAACGCCAAATCTTGAGTTGTCTTCGAATTTTATTTCTTTCTTGCTGCGCTAGATGAGTCGACCTTTAGCAGCACTTCATGCACACTTTCAGATTGTTGTGCATGATCTAGGTTAGGAACTGCTCGATTTTCACTTAAAACTCCATGAAGTCCAAAATATAACCGGTTTTCGGAAACTCCCGGATTTTTGCTATGTTGTCATTAGAAAGCGAGCGGTTTGTGCCAATTCATAGCTCACACGACATTATATATAATATCAAAATTTGAGCGCACCAACACCAAAAAACGAAAAATTTGCAAAACTTAGTTAACAGCCTAATGTTTTTCGAACGAAGTTTTTTGAGAGGGAAAAAATTGGTGATTTCGGCAACTGCGCTTTCCGTATTTGGTTCATACCTCGCGAAATGTCATCCTCATATGTAAGCGGAAGGTTAGTAGCAAGCAAGATTGGCATAAAGACAAATTTGCAGTATAACAATATACGTATAACTGTACAGTATGCCATGTTGGGATAGGAAGTTGTTAAAAATTCTTTGAGCAGAAAAGCTGGGAGCAATGTGATATTGGATGCCATCGGACTGTTTTTTTATATAAGAAGCCATAAATCAAGAGATCTAGATTTGCTCCGAAAAAACAACAGTTTTTGTAGAGCAAGTTTAGCTCCTTTGAATGGCAGGTACATTGCCGTAAACCAACGACTTGATCAAAGAATGGCTTCTGGAATAAAAACCCTAAAATTTTTTCAAACGACGTAATATTAGGTTGAAAACTAAGTTTTGCAACTTATTGAATAGCTTCCCTCTCTCTCGAAATGGCATGCTCAAATTTTGCCACTGAGTAGATCATGATGTAAGCTACAAGAGCACTGCTATTCTGCCAAATTCTGACGTCGCAGTGAGAATTACGATGTGTGTATGGTCTAAAAGGAAAATTATAAAATTTGTTAGATTTGTCTGAAACTTAGCATAGGGGGTGTATCTGACAAGCTGATAACGAAAACGATGTCGAAGTTGCGTGATAAGAGTTTTTTTGTAGGAATACTGTAAGTTTGCGGTATAGGGTCTCACCCCAAACACGGAACGATTACTTTAACAAATGAGTATGATATTCGTGTTTGGCAGGTTAAATAACCTTGCTATGTGGAAGTCTCGGTGAATTTTGAAGTTCTGATCTTGTTCATGAACGGTTGTGCTCAGCACCCTTGGGTGCAGCGGGCTCGTTCGATTTTGTGATTACGCCAAATTTCGACAGGTTAATGAAGTTTATTTTTTCTTGTCGGGCAGAATGAGTCGACCTCTAACAATAATTCGTACACGATTCCGGATTATTGCGCATGGTCTAAGCTGCCAAAAACTTTATTTTGGCTCATTAATTTGCGAAAATGTCTGGAATTGTTCAAAATTCAAACAGTCTGTGCGATGTTGTAGCATACATTGCTTTCTATATAGTATCAAAATTAGAGTGCGCCATATCCAAAGAAAGTAAAGTTATGAAGGAAGTTGCAAAACTTAGTTTCCAGCCTAATTCAATCACCAAACGTAAAAATTTCAAAGTCATGTGGGCAAAGGGTTGACGCCTGGGTAGAATAAACTCTGTCGGCGCGGTGCTAGCTAAGTTAAAGCAAGTTTGCCACGGCTTCCAAATCATAGGTTCTCATGACTTTGGACGATATTTGACTCCTCTCTTGCGCATCACAAAAACTTAATGGCATGCAATTGGCTAATCGGTTGTAAAGAGGCATTTGGTTGTCTGGGTCACAATTCTGAAGTCCCGCCTTGTGCGAGACAGGTGAAAGCGTAAACGATGCCCTGCGCTTACATATGTGAAAGCTGAATAATGAAAAAAGGTTTTTGACAGTAATTTTAATGCAGTGTTGGTGCATTCCTTGCAGTTTTCAAAAACTCCGTAGCTCAATATCGTTGCAAGACTCATATCCCACTTGCGTTCCCATTGAATTCTTCATATGTTGTGAATTCATTTCCGCAAGCAAGATAAGCGCGCATTGATTATAAAGATGCTTATACTTCTCTAATCAAAACGATTCGAGAATACGAGATTTACAGCATGTTTGAGCACAACTTTATTAGGTAATGGTTATGGTGTTGGTTATTGGATTTATGGTGAGTTCTTTGCTGCATCTGTTCATGAGGATGCTCACCAATGATTCTTCTCCGCTACTCAACTTTGCATTTTTCTCTGTTGCTGGTAAGCATTAAATTAATGCTTCTGACTTGAACAAAGCATACACGGAGTCGGGAAATTTAGGGTTTCTCAAAAACTCTAATTTCGATCCAAAAGGACCTTTCTGTTCTCGAATACTTACTTGCGCATGGTTGCTGTTTACATTTCTTGTGACAGAGCATTTTGGGGTAAGCGCTTACAAACTCCGAAAAAGAATGCTTTTCAGCAAACTCTGCCAAGATTTTGCTGTAATGCTAGACGTAATGTTATTTAGAAACAATTTCAGGCAAGACTTCGTAGTGTTCTACTACTGACACATTATCGTGGAGCTCCCTTTGAAAACCTAGATGAAGCTATGGATGCGATAGAATATCAATTAGTTTTTTTTCTCGCACATTCAAAAAGTGCAAACATCACAAAATCATCATTTATTTTTCAGGGATGGAAAATGTTTTACAATGATACATTTTATTCGCCTCTATCCTACTGTTATGTTGCTCAATGTACTAGACTGCGTAAACTGTATAAAAGGTAAATTATTTTGCGCCTCCGCTTATTTGATGATAACAAGCATAGATGTTCTTTAATTAGAGTCAGAATTAGTCAAATCTTTGGTTAGAGTCAAAATTGTTTTGTAGGAGAGTTCAGGCAAATGATTATCTTGAGTTTAGAACCTGACAATATCGCTGTGATGGCAAAACTGTATAATTTTTTACATGCTCACGGTTTTTTCAAGAGAGTTTATCGGTTTCTTTCTTTCAAACATTTTCTTTCGTTGTTGGTTGTCAGCCTCTTAACTCTCAAAGCCGTTTTCGAAAGAGGATAGGTTCGCGTATGAAGCGTCTCAAGGCCTTACGAGGTTTGGACGAACGTTGACCGCTGCAGATACGCGGTCATAATCTAGCAAAGCCCTATATCAAAATGTATAGCTAAAGAGGACCTCACCTAGTTATAATTCTCGTATCCGATCGCTCTTCAACAAATAGGGTTACCCCCTAACTTTGGTAGGTCATCCAAAACACAAAGTTGTGGTTTTCTGCTGAAACTTGAGATCCTACATTCATCCATTTTTAAAAAGTTTGCACATAACATTTGATTGCATCCTCAGATGGAAAAAAACAATTTACATATTAGAAAAAAAAGACGAATGTTTCTATTCCGAGAATGACAAGATGTGATGCACGCTTGTTTGATAATTTGATTTCTTTCACATGTCATAACAACAGGTTCCAAGGAATTTTCCAATGATTTAGATCGCTAGTACTAAAGTACAATGTGTCGCTAGAAACCGTCGCCGAGAATGACCATTACTTTGGATTTGGATCAATGCTAATGGTCGCAGCTCCACACAAATGGAATGTCATTAATGATGCAAAACGCATTCTTTTTATAAGAGATACCGTCATATCACCATTTCACGTTTCGTACGCCGTGAGCAAGTGAGCACGTGAAATTTTTTAGAATTTGAAAAGTATCTACCAGTTAGCCGTTTCCCAGCCAACGGTATATTATCAGCATGTAATACAAGTACTTTTGTTTCGCAGACCACCTCAATACAACTTTATTCTGAAACGTTAAATCTGCCAATCCACACTGGAACTTTAGGGATTTCGGCACTTGCATGCCGTCGATAAAAGCCAGGCAACAAGTTACCTCAGATTCAATAAAAATTACGCTAGAAATTTAAGTTTACATACGCAAGGATCACGAAGGTAAATTTGTAAATTTATGGTCATAATTTCTTGAATAATTTTCGATTTTACAAAATTCCTTACTTATGGTAAAACCCAATGAACGAAAAGGATGGGCAGCATTACGAGAAATGTTATTTGTTTAAGCGTAAATTTTACCGCTAATCTCGGCGCCGTAAGCCACTATATTATGTGGAAAATGTACAAGACTGTAAGAATCTTTAGGCTTGTCGTAACGAAAAGTGTAGATAAAGTCGTGCACGAAATCGCCTGGGTCGCTGTAGGCTGAATCGTGCCTGCGACGCGGCTACCAATTACGTGCGCTATGATGACCCATGTGAGATATTGTCAATGTTAGCCCGCAAGAGACCTCCCTGGCGTTCAGCCCGGGCGATTCCGTGCAGTCATTTATATCAGGGTTGCACGATAGTTAATCGCAGCATGTCCAAGCCCTACATGTCAACTACCACATACCCAGCTTAGAGTGCGAAAAATCATTTGACTTGAAACAACAGACTTACTACCAAACATTTATCATAAACAGATTGCCATGTCCAGATTCTGGAAATTTTCCGCTGATCAGTAATTGGAAGCAAACTTCTAACTTTGCATTTATGCCTTGAACTTGGTCTGCCGAACAAAAATGCATTTTGAGTCCATATAAATGTGTCAAAGAGAGCCAGAGAGAGCCTGCCAATTAAAAACCAAACTCTTTTTTGCATTTTTGTAAATAACGAATGCTCTTAAAGGCAGTGTCTCGGAAAAATCGCATTTGCGAGCTTTCTGTTCCTCTTTGAGTTTCTCGATGCGTCTAGACCAGAGCTGTACTTGAGAAGTCAAGAAACTACTTTTCATGGCGTTCTCCAGCCTTGGAGAGGCTGGAGCGGAGATTCCCGCCCGAGTCGCAATCGGCTGCCTGAACTAATCAACCAATTGCCGGCAAAAGGAGTTGTTACAGTCTCCTGCAGCCAGTCACTGTTTTTTGACGAAAATCTCCGCTCCAGCCTCCTCAGCAATCTTAACGACTGCAAAACGGTAAAAAGCACTTTTTTGACTTTTCAAGCCAGGGCCCGGCACAGATCGTTTGGAAGCAAGCTGGACTTCGTTTTTGGAGCAAAAAGCAAAGGAGATATCGTTTTTGACGAGTCGGGGGCCAAGCACCAAGAATAAGCGCCATTTAGTCCAACACAAGCTTTTTGGGCAGGTTATCACACGATTGACATGCTCTATCGTGTATGGCGAAAAGTGCGCGCGATTTGAAAGCAAGGCTATCCCTGAGCGTAAAGACATTTTCATATCATTGCCTCTCCTTCGTTTTTTCCTTGATTTCTTCATGAATCGCTTTGTTAGATATCGCGCTCCGATAACAAACTCTTGTGCATGCATAGTAAACAGCTCCAACTTGGATTCTTTCTTATCTCACGTTTTTTCCTTCATACTAGTAAATCTTTCTTGTTTCCATCTTCTTCTAAGCAGGTAGGTCAAAGGGGACCTCGTAAAACTATCGAAAGTCAGGGGAGACTTCGTTTTCAAAAACCCTAGAAACCGACTCGTGCCGGGCCCTGTTTCAAGCGCGACTCTGGTCTAAACGCATCCATAAGGCCAAGGACAGAATGCGCGCAGTTGAAATTTTTCCGAGCCACCGCCTCTAAATGCTGCTCAAAATGTAGTGAATGTAGTGCCCATTTCATAAGTGGTGAAGCTCTCCTGACCTTATTCTCGGTACATTCAGGGATATGTCTGCGTCGCTGAGGCAAAAATTGAACATGGCAATTGCAAAAACTATAGGCGGGTAAGTTTTTATGTTAATTCATGGTCAAAAATATAACTTCTCATTTTGCAGATATTCCACGCTGCATAGCCGTTACAGAAGGCCCTACGATAAATATGTTAACAAACACTTTCAACAAAATGCCAATGTGTTACTACTAAATCAACTTGTGGTCCTTTTCCGTTGGACGGGGAAACTGCTTTTGTTTTCACTCGTGTGTTTACTCGGAGGTGAACTGTGATCAGCTTATCGATTTTTACATTCTCGAGAACGTTTACTGTTTTTTTTGTATCAATTCTTTGCGAAGCACTTTGCAGCATTCAAAGAATTCCAAGCAAATAAAAGCGCCTTTAATCGTTTGCGCTAAATGCTAGTATTGCCGCACGTGACTCAAAAATTTTGGATGGGTTAGATCAGAAGTCGAGGAGTAGCATACTTCGATGCGTGTATTGTATCCGTGCCAACATCTGTTGCGTGTTGAACATGCCTGATGTACGATGTGTACGATCTGCTTGTGCGCACAACTCGTTTGATTCCTCCCCCTGTTTCGCCCTACTCAAAATTTAACTAGTCGCAACCGATATACTGGCCAGAGGCCGCCGCCATGGTTAGCTGCTCAGTAATGCCGACTTCCTCCTCAAGATGATTCCGCTCTTTTTCGGAATTGTCACAGGGCTGAGGCTTTCCGGTTTCAACATGAAACAAGTCAATACTCCCTCCTCATTCGAATCTTGATGCATTTCTTCCACAAGCCAACTTACTAGGGAAGGATCACAGATCGCCATGGCGTCATTAGGTGCGTTTTGTTAGGCTGATTCCGAACATAACTTCCGCATCTACTGCCCTTTCCTAGAAGAGGTTGTGAGCGTTTCAAGGTCCGAATTTGGCAAATCAAGTGCCATAATTTCAACATTAGTCTGTCAAAACACTTATCTATGCTGTCGGTGTATGGGTGCATTTCTTGTTGTCATACACTCAATGCTTTGCCATTTACGGACTCCTAAGCATTTTAATGCACCCACTACATTGAACTAATGACTTCGCCTCTTTAAGCACTCTCTCAGAGAACAGCGGCAGATATGGGAGGTAGATTTGGAGCCATCTCAACAGGACGAATGTTTTTATGCATTTTGTTCCATATCAGTAGGTGACTTGGGATCCTTCCCTTATTAGATTAGAGACTGATATCAGCACTAAAGCAAAGGAGAGGCAAAGGCTGTTTGATGAATGATGAATCTTTTCCGACGTTTGCGATTTTGCCTGCTAAGTACTTCTTGTTCCCAGTCAAGATAAGAACGTATGATAAAATTTCAACGCCGAAAACTTAAATCATTCACAGGACTGAGGCTTTCAAGCACTTGAAAATGAGAGTTTATCTTACAGAAGTTGCCTACTTCCGTTATGGTCAGCTGTTGTTACGATGGTTTCAAAAAGCTCAACATCGTTTCGGTTTCCGTCCTGCATTTGAAGAGACTCGAGACAATATCGAACTTACACATTTTTCACATTTATCGGCATAAAAACGTTGCATTCCATTCGTGTGTAGAATGCCGGTGTGATCAGTTCCTAAGAGGAAGGAACAAAAAATGGTTTTTTGAATAAAGGGGGCGCAAGCCGCTAGTCGAGAATTTTGGGATGCTGTCGCGAACGCGTCTCGAAAGAGGCGTGGTCACGGCGGCGGCCAGCGCAAGTCAGTCGCAATGGAAAGCTCATACGCAATGGTGACTCGGATCGTAATCATGTGAGATTTCTTGTATTGTGATTGTGGTAATGATAAAGATTACCTAAATGAGTCTCATGAGTTTTCCACATGGTGCATCGGCCGGGAACATCAAAGTCCCATGTGGTCTAGTGGTTAGGATTCGTGGGTTTCACCCACGCGGCCCGGAGTTTTCCACATGGTGCATCGGTGGACGAAGTAAAAACCTCGAGTTGCCCAGTGGAAAACCTTTCCTTCGTAAAAATAAGTTCGTCATCTAAAGACTTTTCCTTTTTCTGTGTAAAGTTTGGGATCAAGGGACGCTAGCTCCAGAGACTAGCCGAGTGGTCGATCAACGACGCTTGTGACTTGCTATAAGGTTGATACCAATAGCATTTTCAGATGCCGGGAGCGGCCCGGAGAACAAAGCCAGAGTAATGAACCAGGTTCTTTTTCATATTTTTCACGTTTTTCTCCTTTTTCTGATTGTTTCGCAATGTTGTATTTTATACGCGCATTTTCTTCCATCTATTTTTTTTTGTATCCGTCTATGTCTAAAAGTTAAAGGAACTTGAGTCTATCCACTGACCACGGTTTTCTCTTGTTTCACCTACGTCACGGATACAGTATGTCAAAGTTGATAAACATCGATATCAATATTACACAACCACAAAGTTCGCAAAGTTTGCTCCCATGCATTCCTTAAAGCGAGATTTCTTATCAGTGTAATCCCAAAACAAAACAAAAACCCATCACATTAAACATCGCAAGTACTTAAAGACCGATAAACCTCACAATCTATTGTCATTGCACAGTAACTCAAACACTGAGACTATCCATGCCATCGTCGAATCGCTCGCTAGTTACCGCTAAGCAGCAGCTTAGTCGGCATCTCGACGACATTGCACATCTTGTGTCGGATTGCGAGAAATATAAAGAAGGATGGCAATTTCCTTCCGTCCGTAAGGAGTTATATATATTTACTCGTACGCAGCGGTCCAAGGTACAGGACACGATCGCAAAGCTGCAGTCAAAGATTGATATCGTAATGAAAATCTTTGGAGAAGCAACTGAAAATCTTTTCGCATCCGACTCGGAAAACCCGACTGAGTTGGGTCAAGACTTCGACAACTACTGAAACGAAAAGAAAGGGGCTAGTATACTCGAAGCAGCTCGAGAAATGATTCAAAGTCTGGAAATGAGACTAGTCGAATTAGCAACGCAAGAAATGCAAATCGCAAGTTCAGACGAATTCGAAGAAATCGAAAGACAACGCGCCGCTGGTACCCCTTCGCTCAATATATCCCAGCCAACCACCTCGCAACCTCTCAGTTTCCAGACTGAATTCTCCCAAACACGCTCTAACCATCAAATTCCGGCGCACTGGTATAAAAGAGAGCTTCGCATACCAGACTTTTTTGGGGAACCGATAGAATTTGAGCCATTTTGGGAAATTTTCGCGGAATTAGTCGATAAGCAGCCATATTCGGATATCGAAAAATTAACCATTTTACTTGACAAATGCAAAGGCGAAGCCGCAAGAGCACTCAAATATCTCCCTCGTAAAGGTTCATCTTATAAAGACGCTGTCCAACAGCTCAAAGAACAGTTTGAAAACCGCGAACTAAACGTCAAGCTTTTGATTCAGCGATTAGACAAAATTCCGACATCGTCGGAAAATGCATCGCAACTTCGAGCAACCCTCAATGATCTTATGGCAATTATAGTCCATCTGTCACGAGCAGAATCGCATATCGACGCTCGTGAATATAAGACAAAGTGAGGCAAAAATTTCCTGAAACGATTCAAAATGCGTTGATTTTGAGAGAATACGAAGAGAATTCGAATTGGACCATGAATCGATTGATAGATGAGATTCGTAAAATTGTGAAAAAATTCGAAATCACGCAAGTGCATAAGAGCCATACTGAGTCGACGTCGTTAACTAGAACTACTATGCTGCACATCAAACATCGAAAATTCGTGCAGTATCGGTGTGCAGCATGTGGAGGATCTCACAAGATACGTTTCTGTAACAGATTCCGAACAGCACAATTGCGACGTCAACGTATCCTCGAATTGAACAGTTGTTTCAAATGTTTCTCCACTGAACATCAGAGTAACCAATGCCGACGTGCAAACTGTCGCAATTGTGGCGGACCACATAATGTAGCATTATGTGTCGATCTAGGGACCCCACATCGAATAGGCATCAATTATCGACATGATGCGTCGGAAAATTCTAAACACTTTGAATTGTTAACCGACCAGAAACGAAGAAGATCGCACGGATACAAGTTCGCAAAACAGCAGAGAGTTTACAGACCCTACTCCAGATCCCGCTCTAGAACGCGAGCATCAACCTTGGAGACGACCACTGCCAATACCAGATGCCAAGCAGACCCTATTCGGAGACGGTCATTAACTCCCTACCGGCGCCAAAACGAACCTAAAGGTAAAATTTCCACATATACCTTGAATTCGACAGAAGACAAAGCACCTATCGAGTTGCAGGAAGAAATGATACAGATTAATAGAGCACAGATGAGTAGTAATCGAATTTTTGGAGTAGAACCACGTTTAATGATTATAACTCTACCACTGATGCACAACAACACAACGAAGCTCTTGAAGGTATACGCAATACTAGATACCGGCGCTACTAGAAGCTTCATCTCGGAAAAAATGATAGGACACCTACAATCGTCATGTATATTAACCCATTCGGAGGAAAACAAGAAAAACCTAAGGCTCAAGAAGTTTTAGTTCATGCCATTGATATAAGCGGCAAAAGTTTTCCCATGCATATGCTGACCTCAGATACCATAACCGAAACAGTATCGCTGGCTAGATTATCGAAAGAAGATATCGAATACGCACTGAATCGGAATGTGTGGATACAGTATACTGAATGAAGTAAATCTCGAAATTACTCCAGAAATGTTAATCGGGATTGACTATTACAATGAAAGACTAGATACTTCACCACCACCCGCACGACTACCCTCAGGTTTATATGCAGTACCCACCATATTCGGATATGCAATAACAGGGATAGACAATCCAGTACCAGCAGACGAATTGATGAGCTTTCACAGTTGTGTAACATCTATGAGTACGATAGATAACTGGCCTGACACCTCGTCAACGTGGACCTTGGAAAGCCTTGGTAAAACAGATCCTATATCGGAAAACGACGAAAATTTAGCAATATTGCAACAATTTTGTGAAACTATCGAAATACGAAATAAACAGATTTTCGTAAGGTTTCCATGGAATTGTTTGAAATTGTTTGGAATTCAGATTTGTTTTATTTATGGAATGTAATCAAGCAATATTTTTGTATGCAACATTAATGGGAATTTTTCTCTTAATCGCAACTATAGCAACCTTCGCCATCGTAGCTCAACAAAGCAAATCGAAATCAACCTGCGCATCAGCATCCAATTTTCTGAAGTTATCCTTCCCTTGTCTCGTACCGTTACTTTGCATCCTTCAAGTATTCATGCTGCCATTTCGCATACTACTGCGCCTTGTACACGTCGTATTTAAACTTTGTTTTCGCCTTGTCATATATAAATCGAAATGAACAATTTTTCAATGCAAACTCTTTTCAGAACGCTACCAGAGCACGAAATCGGAAGCGATTCGGACTCGGACACCAATTCGCAAAAGAACATGGATATGGAAACGCAAAATCAAGTAGAAGAGCAGCCGAAAGAAAAGAAAGAGCCCACGGGTGCTGCCGTGTGTTCAACGTCGGCTGCGGCCACCGTACGAAATCTAGTAACGCAAATGACCCAGGAGTTGGAAAAAATTCGAAAAGAAGTCGAAAATAAAGAGGTTGGTTTGTAATTATGATTTCATGGTTTGAAGTAAAGCAAATTCAAGAATTGGTGGCGCATCCGGAAAACATACATTATAAGAAAAAAACGCAAGAGAAAGAGATTGGTCAGTGGGTTTATAGGGAAGTAATAACATAACTCGTTATTTTAGAACATCGCCAGACGCGCTCGGGAGGAAATGGAGAGTGTGGACTTTCAACTGAAGCAGCTCTTATCAATAGAAGATGATAAACCCACAACAAGCAGGAGACGATCCCCCACGCCACCACCTCGTACACCGCCAACCACGCCGGCTCCTTTACCTTCGCTAATCGAAAAGGGACGATGTAAATTTAACTGCGGTTCGAATACTCATCAATTCGCAACAGAGTGCGACGTCTATGCGACTTTGTCAAATAGACGCGAGTGCATGCGCGATTCAAACCTATGTTTCCGCTGCTTTAAGCAGCATCTGAGGGTGACAGAGCTCGCGTGTCAGTTAATTCCTTGCTTCTATTGCAAGGAACATTACCGACACGTGCAGCATCACGTGTCCGCGTTGTGCCCATTCATGTTCCCGCAGTAAGGAATAAAAATCGCACGAAAACAGCCACAGCTCGCAACTTTTAAATAGCCTCGCACCTTGCCTCGTTCATGTTCCCGCAGTAAGGAATAGAAATCGCACGAGAACAACCACAGCTCGCAACTTTTGAATAGCCTCGCACTTCAGGAAACTTGTTACAGACACTCGCCGCTCATTCGCCGTCGATGGATTTGCTCATCGTCCTTATTCGATTAGATTAGAATTATTATTAATTGACTGTTCCTTTTTGTTCACTTGGAAGATTGTGGTTTTACTTATTTATTGATTGTATGGAAGATTATGGTTATTGATCCTTTGATCAATAGGAAGATTAACGCCATTTTTTTCTTTTCTTTTCATTGTAATAATTCGAGTCACCAAGCGAATTGCACAAAAAACATTTTTTTTTATCTCGCGCGCCGGAGGGTTGCCGAAAATCCTCGTAAAGCAAGTCTGCTGTGATCCATGTTCTCTGAACATGTTTCGGCAGCAGAATGCCAGAGCAGCCATTGATGATTGTGAGGTCACCACCCACTTTCGGTCAAGTGGAAGCTCGTTCGTAAAGGCGAACCCCGGCGGCCCAGTGTCGCGAACGCGTCTCGAAAGAGGCGTGGTCACGGCGGCGGCCAGCGCAAGTCAGTCGCAATGGAAAGCTCATACGCAATGGTGACTCGGATCGTAATCATGTGAGATTTCTTGTATTGTGATTGTGGTAATGATAAAGATTACCTAAATGAGTCTCATGAGTTTTCCACAGATGCTTTAGTGGGCCATACGTTCACATAGCGGCCGCTTCTGCAATGAAAAAAAAATTTACAACTAAACCATTGTTTTCAAAACTCAAAGATGTCGATTATTTACATGTAAAGACAAAACACTTGCAAACTTAAACCCAGGTAATTCTAATTTCGGTTATATTTCTGAGAACGGGAAAGGGTGAGGAGGGAAGGGGCGTACAGAAAATGGAATAAGTATTCTAAAAGTATTATACTACACTTTATGCTTTCCGCAAAAATGTGAATGCAACTTTGGCGAAACTTAAATCGTTTTTTGCGCCCTCAATTTTTCTCCGAAAAATCCATAGCTTCTCTACCAGAACTCACTGATAAGGGAGGTAGAGTCAGAATCAGCCTTCCAAACCCTCGGTAAAAGAATTTATCGTAAGCCACTGCAACTTTATGACCCTCCTTGTCAGTAGACATCTCAAGGGAAAAATCAAAAAAAACAGTTCGCACGCGATAATTTCTACGCTGTTCAAAGGAATCCATACAATCCAGGCCAATGCTCGAAAGCGGGAGCAACTCACTTTGTTATATATATCTCTATAATAAAGCGCATGCCTAGATGACTCAGAGATGACTCATGCATGCAGCATCCCCCCCTTTGTGGTCGCGATTCAGATATCAACATGTCCGTCGTTATGTGCCGGTGTAGATGCACCGAGCTGTGGCTTGTAGGGTGACGGTGCCTGTCTTACAAGGAAGGGATACTTAGTGATCTCAGCCTTTTGGTAAGCGATATACCAGTGCACCTCGAAACGCTGATTCTAAATCTGTGCCCGAAATGTGCGAAACGATCAAATGAAGGCAGTTAATAATTTTTTTCGTAGAAAATTTGCGTATATTTAGGTGGTTAAAATATTCCAATTTGATCTGTCTTATCGTTTGGAGCTATTGAGGAGAATCTTGAAAGATGCAGCGTTGCATTCATACCTATCTAAATCACATGTAGCATTTGAAGAGGAAAGCAAAATTTTTATTAATGATTTTCACCCTCCGCAGTAGCGCAATTCTTTTTTAAAAAAGTAATTCAACTTCATCCAGGTTCTCGTTTCGCAGATATGGGAAAACTATCCGAATCAGCATTGAAAGGCGCATTTTTTGATATACAGACCATTATGAATGGCGGGGGTCACCAAGTATCGTTCCCCGTTTAGATGATGTTGATCAAGAAGCTCAATCAGCAAAGTGTACTTGCTACACAAGCTAAACCTTGTGAACGGGAAGGTTACTTAGTCATGTTTTCATTATGCAATACATTACTCTATCGCAATAGCGTCGAGAAGTGTGAGCCCGGATAGCTCCCGCTAGCAAGACGGAGTTTTGGAAAACATCACGCCAGAGATAGGAAGCATACTGGATGGCGTATAAAAATCATAATGAGCTGAAGGAAAGCAAGGCGGAGGTCCCCATACGAAAAATATCAGAAAATTTGAATGCCAGCGTGAGGAAGTCTGTACGAAAAGGGAGGGGGGGGGGAGTGGGAAAACTTGAGAAAATTTGCACTTTGACTCCAGCAAACGCAAGGATAGCGCACGCTTCCTAGCAAATTAGAAATCAGAAGTTTGAGCGGTCCTAACAGGAGAAGCTCAAGGGTGGCTTTTGGGATGTAGTCGAAAGCTAGACGAAAACTAGCGCAAACACTTTGATATTGCTGCATCTAAGGACATTCAGACTTTCCAGTGAAGGGAATGAGTGTCAAATTTTTTTCCTAATCTCAGGGGGGGGGGCGTTTCTGCACGTTTTTTGAGAATCCTCCATTTGGGAGAAAATAAGTAATAGAAGAGCGGAGAAGTGGGTTGAAAGCTCAAACCTCCTCCTCCCCGCTTAGTTAGAGCCCCTTGAAAATTTATGCGGCGGCAACGCTGCTCCAGGCGCGTAGTGCTGCTCGCTGGATACATCATGTTGCCAATCCGGAGACTATGAATATCATCGCGTTTGTTTGATGCTCTCTTGGGTTTCTTTCGTTTTGCTTTGCTCCGTTTCTTTTCATGTATTTTCTCTTCTAATATCTCGTGGCTAATGTCGTACTTTCATTATGAAGTCAAAGGGGACTCGTTTTTTGCAATTTCGGGAAGCCACCTCGTGCCGAGCCTCAAATAAAAGACATGGCAACTTTTCGATAAGACCTGAACATGGGTAGTATCGTAGACTGTGGAGAAAGAAAGCTCGTTTTTGACTTGCAACGGTGACAGCAACTCTCAGAGCATAGAACGTCATTCAAAACGTGTAGCTTTCTTTCAGTGAAGGATAGCACAACACAAGTGGACGGTTAATCAGGGAAAGTTTTTCTACTTTATTCATTTCCTGTAGTGACTTTTATGTGAGATTCGAAAGTGAAGGTGATTTATTCTAAAGAGTAGGCATAATACCACAAGCATAACACCGTGCTTTGACGTAGAGTTTGTTTGTGAGTTATGACCTATCTTATAATATCTGCTGCATGACGAAGGCGGTTGCCCAAATAGGTTGAAGGCTGTTGCGCACGCGCCGCGCGGGCAATTGTCAGCCACGGGGCGCGCGCACGCTCCAGTGGATGACCGCTGACCGAGCGTGTGCGCGCCCGGTGGTTGACAATTGCCCGCGCGCCGCGTGCGCGACAGCCTTCAACCTATTTGGGCAACCGCCTTCGTCATGCAGCAGATATTAAATAAAGCTGAATGTCTGTTTGTATGCCTGTCTGTATGTCTGTATGTAAGTACGTATGTTCCGAATAGAAAATTCCATTTCTGAACCGATCGGGACCAAACTTGGCACACATACACTTCGGGCCCCGGCGGATGTCATAGGCTACTTTTCGTATCGATCGATATCGATTTTATCGATTTTTTGCAAAATTTGAGCTACGGGGCTGGGAGTTGGCACAGGGGGGTAAGTGAGCATGGGAATTCCAAATACAATATTAGTTTTTAAAATCGTGCATTACTTTTATCGATTTTATCGATTTTTTTGCAAAGTTTGAGCTACGGGGCTGGGGTTTGGCGCAGGGGGTAATCGAGCATGCTGATCCCCCTAGCTCAAATTTTGCAAAAAAATCGATAAAATCGATAAAAGTAATGCACGGTTTCGAAAACTAATATTGTATTCGTAATCAGCATGCTCGATTACCCCCCTGTGCCAAATCCCAGCCCCCTAGCTCAAATTTTGCAAAAACTCGATAAAATCGACATCAATCGATAACGAAAAGTGGACTGTGACACCCGCCGGGGCCCGAAGTGTATGTGTGCCAAGTTTGGTTCGGATCGGTTAAGAAATGGAATTTTCTATTCGGAACATACGGTGGAGCCGGGTATGCCAGCTAGTATCTTTATAAAAGTGTAACAAAACTAGAGTGCTTGAAAACTCGTATATACAGACTTTTCAAACGTTCTAAAGAATTTCTGAAACAACGATTAGTTCCCAGTGTCGCTTTGTTCAGAGGTTTTTTTGTGAGCCTATAGTGAAACTGAGCAATCGGTGATTTGCTCCTTGCTATGAGACAAATTGAAACCGGTTCTAAAGTAGCAATGAAGTTGGGCTAAACACTTTGCAGGAGATATAAGCGATCAGAAACTATGTACATAATTTTGAGATACCCTGTATAATTTTGCTGTAAGACCTTCCATGCCAGTCATCTATATTTTAGCTGAATCGTAGTTCAAACCCAAATTGTACGAG